GCGGCAATGTCAAGCTTTCTTGAAATGTGCTTGAAACGGGTAGTAATGCTGATATTTATGGTTAGATAGGGCAGAAGGCTGCACATGTGCCATTTGTATCTATATGCATTAAGACGCTTATTCACGGACCTCTTGGTTTGAGAAATAAAAATAAGAGGATTGAACCATTTCTTTTGACTCGTTTTCAAATTTGATAAATGTTGGTTGATCGTGTGTACCTACTATAATCAGAATTTGAATGTCATTCTTTTTTTCCAATTGCAAGCATGTTGTGATGGCACATGTTGGTTGTAGAACTTGCTATAGCTGCGCTGAATGAAATTGAAAGTTGCTAACCTACTGCTGTGTCATTGAATTAATAAGTTAAGACATTACTCATTACCCGACTATTTTCTATGCACTAAGCAGCAAACCTTGTTTCTGGTTGGGATGAGCTGCCATCGAGTAGACCGTGGAAGATAGTTCTCATCGTCGAGTTTGTAAGGTGTAGTGAGATTGATTGTGTCGTTGGATACTATTGGACCAGCCATGAATGAAGACTGGTTGGCACTTGAATTAGCGTTGGCTTGGAGTGCGCCATATTTGCCAAATTGAACAGAAGCGATAGCCATTAAGTTTCAAGGCTAAATATCACAAGTTTAGTGAATTGACCACGTGTGATAATAATGCGGCTTGAAGGGAAAAAATGGACAGAGATCGCACTATGTGCGAATGAAGGCAAGCAAAAAGCACACTATACTGTGCGACATAGATGGCCCAGAAAAATTTACGTAAGACATGAATTGGATTGAGATCTTATATTTAAGATCAAATTGAATGTCGAATTTAAGATTAAACTAAATGTCAAACTAAATTTTATATTAAGAAGAGGAGGTAATATAGAAGATTGATCCAACAAGTACTATTCAGGATTGAGAAAAATTAAAGTGAGACTGTAAATAGAGGGGATCCATATCCACACACACATATATATTATATATATGAGGTTTTTCTTGATCATAAGATTCGCAAATACAAACAAGACTCAATAACACAAAGCAATCATTATTATAACATCACAATCTGCGAAGAAAAATAACAACATGAAAGATTTAATCAGTCACAACTGGACGTATTTTTGGGATTGGGGGACGTCCTTAACAATGGCTTTCATAAGATTCATGTAAAGAGGAAACTGTGCGATGGCATAGAATGAAATAGGAAGACAAGTGACGGCATAAAGAGGGAAGATTCCTTTCTTGAACTTGTCCTCAAGCACGAAGAAATGTGAAGCACAGAAAGATATGAACATGGAAGCAATGGACACAAACAATGAGCTTAACCCCAGAAGAAGCTTGAATGGCAGATTCCTTTTGAAATCTATGGGTTGTTTTCGAGATGTAAGAATGGAGAGGAACATGATGAGCGCCGTGACGGAAAATCCAAGCCCTATGAGTCCGCTGATGGCGAAAAGTTGAAACGCGGGATGTCCTTCTAATGTTGGTTTGCCTTTGGCGTCGATACTTCCAGGGATGGACTTTGACGTCGCAAACGAAACTCCAGCCACCAGCGCCGCCACCACCGAGCAAGATTGAGATGTGTCCTTAAGCCATGTGCTGCCCTTTTCCACCAGATCTTTGTGGTCACTAGTGAATATTTGTTCCGGGTTTTTGCCTTTTCCGTTCTTAAGGAAGAGATAGTGGGAGGGCACAAATGATTTCACATACTGCAATTTAATAGTTCAAGTGAATAAGTTAAAACTGTTTTATTTGCATGCACACACATATATATTAAGCAACTTTATTTGAAAAAAAAAATTTAATTTAAAGATTCAACTAAATTTCTTTATTTGTGTAAATTAAAGTATGTGAATTTGTCTCATAAAAAAAGAGTCAAGGGAGTATTACTCTACGAGACAGCACAGTGTATTTGTGTGCACGGTATCGACTCCCTCTCATTCGTCTTATTATTATGCGTATTAACTACCTAGTCTAATGACACTGAAAAAATTGAATAAAACTAGTTAAATGTCAACATACTTTCGAAAACGACCCTACTAATTGTATACATGAAAAAGGAGTTTTCATTAATGGGATAATAATCAAAAGGAATATTATAGAAAAACCAATATAATTTTTTTATAAAATAATTAATTTAACTAATTTTTCAATCAATTATCCAGCGTGCCTATGTAATACTTGAGGAAGCATCACTTACTGACAAGAAAATATGGAAAAGTCATAATAAAAAGACAAAGACACATTTCTAACAAAGATTAATCTAGTTTATAAGGAGTTGGCTCATAATTCATAATGTTATGAGTTTAATTTAGATTTTTGAACATGAAGGCATGTGTGAATTTCTAGAATCCAATCTGCCCAAACTTTCATTTAAAAAAATAAAATAAAAGACAAGAACATTGAATTTTATAAATGGTCATTTATTTTTTTTAATATGTGAGAATTAGTTAAAAGTGCAGAGTGGGTATTATCGTTACCTCGTACCACGTGATTTCACATTGCATCTGCATGGCATAACCATAAGCTTGCCAACCATGAGACAAGGATTCATCGTACTTTGCTGCTATGTGCAGTATAGTGTTGTTTTCATCGTCCACCGCATGAACCAGGTCGTCCCACAGGTTAGGCTTCCCTGATACATTTTTCAAGTGTTGTCGAAGTGCCACAAATATCTCTGCCTGTTGATTCTCCACAGCCACCATCAGTATATTCTTGTTCGTTGGTCCTACAGTATCTTCAGGGATGATTCCTGGGAATCTTCGCAGAATCTTGTCCACTACCTCGATCACGCCTGTCTCTGCTGCTGCCAACAGGGCTTTATTTGTAATGTTCTCAACCTTGTCCCTGCTGCGATCACCACCACCTGCCCAATATTAATTAATTAATTTAATTCCAGGAATATATTACATATTCAATTCAATCATGATTTTGAAATCAATCAAGCCATTCTTTTTATTAACTTACTAGACATAATTAAATAATATTTCACCAGAACGGTTGAGATTTAAAATTTTTAATGATAAATTTAAGTGTCAGTTATAATTTTATATGTTTTAAATTATGCATCTGTTAAAATAAATTATTTTAAAAAAAATTGACTCCGAATCATTCAAAATCAAACTGGATAGTTCATAATTAAAATGACAATCAAAATGTATTTATTTTATTTAGTAGATTATGTTCAATAAAAAATGAATAGAAAATGAAATAAAATAAAATGTGTAGGATATATACACACATATATCACAATCCAAGAGGTATATTTAAAAATTAAGAAATTAGCAGATATTAAAAAACAGCAAATTAGTAATGAAAATTTTAAATTTTGTTATAAAAAAAAGCCTTCCCTAATTGATTAGTAACGAAATTTCGTCACTAGTAGCAAAAATTTCATCACTAAACTAAATTGAGTTGTTAATTTACTTTTTCTCTTTGGCAATGAGGCACAACAACCCCAGGTATGATATGAGTTTGGTAAGAAGGGGAAAATGAATTACCACCAAATCTAGCAAACATCTCAAATGGACCATGATCTGCACCCGATTCAACGTCAATTGCATGTTTCATGATCTTTTCATTCAAGTAATTTTCCAAAAGTTGATCCAATATTTGAAGACTCCATATATACTTCTCTTTCACCCTCCTTATCTTGGCGAATATGTTCCCTGTGGCATCCATTAATTTTGTATTCACAGGAAATTAAACAAGCATATATACACTGATATGGAAACTTAATTAGTTGGAGGAATTATATATATAATAGATTATTAAGAAATTAATTTTTCTTATTCACAACTGAGTTTTTTGGGTTCATCACTGGTTCCGCTTCTTCCTTTTTGTCTGCTAAATCAGATAGAGATATATGATGATTAGATGACAACCAAATAAATTGTACAAAATCTTAAAAAAAAAAAAAGGTCAAACTATTTATATCACTCACGTACGGTTTTTAAAATTCAAATTTTTATATAACTCATATGTACTTAATCGATTTTGCTTAAATTACGATCGTGACACTGATAGATAAATTAGAATAAATGAAGAGGATCTAAATCAAGAATAATTGGGAAAGATACACATGTAAAAATATAAAATACATAATTTGATTTGTGTAAGAGAATGCTGTCCTTAACAATTACTCTATTTCACCGTATAACTGAGTAAAAGAGAGGTAAGGGCAGTTGTGTGCCCTTTTACCATGCAAGCAACATACCATGCCTTCTATGGGCAGAAGGCGGACTGACAATGTTCGAGCTTTTACGATCTGGATTTGTTTTAGAATTAGGATTGGGATCATACTTCAGTGGAGCAACTTGTATACCTAGCAAGCCGCCAGAAAAGGAAAAATTAATTATTCAATTTATTATCAATAATTCATACCGCCCACACACCAAGTTAATTAATTAATAAGCTAGAATATATATATACAAAATCAAGTAAAGAGAGAGAGAAGAACAATAGTTAGGTTAAGTTCCTTATATTTATTATATCAAATTTTTCTGGAAGAATTACAATGTATGAGGTCCAAAGAAAGAAGTATAATTACTAAAAAGTCCTAATAACAACCTAAACAGTATGTAATAACAAGTTCTAGAATATAAAATGACAACTTTTGATACTTATTTTGTAATTTTTTTTCTTTAGTACCTCATTGTAATTCTCCCCATTTTTAATGTGTGATTGAATCGCGTGAGTAATATTGATACACACACACACCCACATACTTACAGAAGTATATGATATGTTTCCACCAGGAAAGGTTGTAGCTACTTCTAAACAGGGAAGGTGTTCTGGCCAGCAGCTCAAGAGGACTCACTCCCTTCGCATTGAAGTCGTCCGAAAGCTCTGGGCACCTTTTGATGATGTGGAATGCCAAATCTATATAAAATAATCAACACATACATATAGTCACAGCAGCCACTAAATATAACTGGTGAATATAAAATAGCATTAATGGCCTCAAGGCTTATTTGGAGGTCGCAGGTTCAATCTCACTATTTTTTAAGGAAAAGAAAACAGAGACGTGAAAGGATAGTGACGCTCACCTACGTGCCCTCTCCTAATGGCCGAGTGAAGCACAGTATCTCTATCGGCGTCAGCATCAGCATCTCTATCAGCATCTCCATCAGTACCTCTATGAATAACCAAGTAGTCTTCTGGCTTTTCACATGCAGCATCGTAGAGGTAGATGAAGGCTGGTTTACGGTTATGGACAACCGCGACGAAGATCGGGTTCTCATCCCACTTGTTGGGAATACCTAGCAGATCCTCACCCATGTTGTCTCCTGCACGGAGGATCAGCTCGCACATTTGCACGGACCCTCTCGCGGCCGCGCAATGCAGAGGGGTTTCCCCCTTGTTATTTCGTGCTATCAGAGCCTGCTTTGTTCTCGTACTCTCGATTATAACGATCAACTTCTCCACGACGTCAACTCTGTTCTCGTTGATGGCCACGTGCAAGGCGGTGTCCTTCCAGGTCCCCATCCCTTGGCTCAGGAGCCTCGGATTACGCTTGCATAATTCAACTGCATTGTGCCAATCACGCCGCGATATGAACCGTGATAGGTTCCTGGTCTCCATGCGAAGAACTTCGATTCCTCCTTCATCACTGCTACTGTCTTGATGACCAGGTGGAGATGGAGAATCCATTTGGTCAATAATAAGAATTTATCAATCAAGTGATCAAGACACACACACAAAAACACAATTCGGGTGCTTATTTATTTAGCTTCAGATCTGAAAATATATATATATAGGTGGGGGTTTGGGATAGCGTTAATCTGAATAAAGGTTAAAAATTAAAGTGTTTAGGAGACAAGAATAATTAAAAGCACAAAGCATTATATTTATACCCCACACAGGTGGCGTGCCCGTACAGGCAAAGCTGATATCCCCCATCCTCGCAACACAACTCACTTTAGCCCTTTCATCAAACCCAAAAAAAAAAAAAATTGATGGTTAACTTATTAAAGGAAAAATCGCAAAAACAAACCCTAAAAATTAAAAAATTGCCTACAAAGATATGTTCACAAAAAACTCATACTAATGTTGTAATGGGTCTCTATTTATAATTTTTCTATTTTTAAGTTTTTTTATTTTTTCCTTGTTAAATCAGTCTCAACTTTATTAATATTAAATGAGGCTGTGAAGGAAGAAAAAAATATAAAAATTCATATTTAAGCATCAATTACAGAGGCAAAATTGACAAATAAAAATTAATTACTACTTCTGGTCCTTAATATAAGACCTCATTTCACTAAGGTGGTCCTTCTAATAATAATAATTCTCACTAATATACTTGATTAGTAAGGATATTTTAGGAAAAACAATACCTATTTATTATAAATAACTAATCTAACTTATTTTCTTAATCTACTCAAATTAGTTAACTAGCTCTTATATTTAGGATGGGAGATAGTATTCTTTGAATGGCTTACTCCTTCTAGTCTTTTCTATAGGGTACTTCTATAGTCCTATTTATAAAGCACTTCCAGCATGTTTCATACAGACCAAGGAAAACATTAAATTTCATTAAATCTTATTTAAAATTTAATGACTTTCTAACTTTATCTCTATTTAATATATATTATACCTCATATAAACAAAATCAACACAATAATAAATGAGGGGTAAAATTGTACATCCATACAAAAAAATTTTCTCAGTACCTTATAAATAGGACCAAAAAATACCTTCTCTCTGTAAATAAGACTAGAAGAGTATTTTTCACTACAAAGTGTTTGGAAATCCCAAAAAGCACTTTTAAAAAGTGTTTTCATATAAATGGAAATAAAAATTTTCTCATATATTTGTTCTGTATATTGTAAAATTATTTTTAAAATAATGATTTGATTTCTACCTAAATACTCGCTAATTCTCACATACCAATAAATAATGACAGTTAGAGTATTAGATTTGTCCTAAATTAAATTTTTTTCAAGTTTATTTCCAATTTAAATGATGTACTAGATAGAGAAATACAGAGTTTGATGACCATATTAATTAACACTAAAAGTAATTAATAACAAGAGTGAGTTTGAAAAATAGCAATTATTGAGTTAGTTGATGACTTATATCTAGGGTCAAATATTGTTTTTAAAATCCTATAAATTATAATAAGGAGTATATTATAGACTAAGAAATTTTTATAAAAATTACTTATATTATGGGCAAGAGGGAGTATATGCTAAAATTTAATTTTATGAGAAGCCGAAGGGAAACAAGAAGATAGAATTAATGCATATATTGATGAATGGTCCCTCCAGTATACAATGTGTCTTATATAGAAGACTTTATTTTTTTTTTTTGGTGAAATAGAAGACTTTATTTTTGTGTCCAAATGATAAGATGTCATGTAAAATTAACCTATTACATTTTTTCGCCTTAAAATTTTAATGTTCCTTTTATGTTTAGGGGTATTTGAGTGGAAACCAAACCATAATTTTAAAAGTGATTTTACGATATGTGAGAGGATTTATCTTGCCTTACATTAATACTTTTGGGAAAAACCAAACACCTCCTACAATGAAAGAGTTATTTAATTAATTTAGGTGGGTTAAAAAAGTTTGGTAAACCAATTAGGAAAAATTAATTTGTCAGTCCTTATATTTTTTTTTATTTTTATTAAATCCTTATTCTATTTTTAGCTTTGATGAAAGTCCTCCCATTATCAAACTGTTAGTCTATGTTCGTATGGTGTGTCTTCTTGCTTAGCTTCTCCCTCACTCCTCCATATAGTTTGCAACTGATCAATATTTTCTCTCTATTTCCGCATGCGCTCTATGTATTCATGAACTTGGGTCAAGAGCTGATGAACATTTATTTATGAAAAATTTCTCACGTACAATTTTGAAACCGCACATGAATGTCCAATTTGTTATTTTTAGAATTCAATATTACTAATGACAAGGTTAGAGTTGGGGACATGGGTATAATAAAAAATACCTGAGGAGGAATCCAACGTCATGACTAAATTAAGGAAATGAAGATGGAACTGGTAGAGAGAATGGAAGAGGAGAAAAACAAAGAGTGCGGGGGGTGTGGGTGTCATTGGGAAAGGTGGGCAAGAATTGAAAGACAATGATTATGAAGAGAGAGAGAGAGAAGAGATTGCTCGTAGTTGGGCAGAGGAGTGAGAGGGAAATAAGTAAGAAGAGAAGACGCGCCAATAACCCTTAACTAATAGTGTTATAATGGAAGGCCTTCCATCAAAACAAAAAATACAGGCAAAATGACAAAAAAAAGACGGCCTAAATAGAAAAATTATAAATAAAAACCATCCAAATAGAAAAATTATAAATAAAGACTCATGACAATATTAGTATGGGTTTTAATAACAATTTTTATAAACTAGTCCTTGTGTGTAATTTTTTTATTTCGACGGTCTTTTTTTGCTATTTTTCCAAAAATAAAATAAGGATTCAATAAAAAAGAAAAGAAATGTAAGGACCTGATTCAAAATCAGGTAAAACTATAAGAATTGGCAAATTAATTTTCCCAAATAATTAATTATAAATTTATAATAAATGTGGTTCTATCTCACTCCCTAAAATATGATTGCGCAATATCAGATTATAGACCAATTTATAAATTAATTAAAATAGTTAAAAAATAATAAATATGAAAGATAAAATAAATTAAGATATTATATTCAAGATCAAAACTAATTTTAAAGTAGCACTTATGTTTAAGACCGGGTTAATATAAGAATATCATAGATTGTGAGAAATGTTTTTAATATTATTTCCTGCGTGCTGGAAAAGATTCATTCTAGAGTGACAATTACTTGAATGTGAATACAGACATGACACTATTTTTGTGTGTTCTTTTTATTCTTTTTCTGCTCTTTACAAATATTTAATTAATTAATTAAGTACTACTTAAGCATCTTGCTTTCGCATCAATCTGGCAAAATTACAGAAATAAAAAAATTAATAACAAGACATTTTCCCCGCCAAATTTATTTGAGACAACCTTTGTGGGAGAGAATATGTGGATCAGCCTAAAGTTCACGTCCACAAGAAGCAACGTTAATATGCGCCAGTTATTATATTTATCTAACATTGAGAGAATACTTCCCTCATCTATTTACCTCGTATTTAATCAAGACTAAAAACTAATTTTAAAAAAAATTCTACCGCCATTCCAATTAAGCACCAAAGTGTATGATCATAACATGAGATACAATGAAATTGATGTGTCTAGAGTTTGAGTTTTTCCTGGATCATGTTACTAGGTATCTGAGAAACTGACTAATATAATTTGAAAATCGTGGCTTTCCCTCTATACAAAAATTTCTTGTCTAGAACTCGAATTCGAGACTCAAAGAAATCTAACGAAACCGGCAATATTAGACCAACTCTTTATTGGTGGGTTAATATATGTTATTGCTTTTAAACCATTTTGAGAAGAGTATTGGCCATCATAAACTATTTATCGGAGCAATGTTATTTTTAAGTGTAAAAAATGGTTGCAATGTTGTTTTTTGATTGACTTCGACTTAACTTCATAATATTGATTTTAGTTCAAAGAGAATTTTTGTTCCTAAATTATTTCCCAGAAAGAGCAACTACTAGCACCGTGAAACTCAACAATATTTAGCAATTGATGCCCCCTACTTTTTTTATTTTATTTTATCAAAACACATGGTATTGTATTTAAAGTGTTCCATGTTTTAGTATCCATTAGTGAAAAAAAAAAGCTATTACTTTGGATCAATGATCAGTTATTCAAATAGGAAGTGAGAACAATTTTATGTGAGAAAATATAGAAATAATGGGTAAAAATTAAAATGCATCTCTCTCTGCCTTGTGGGGAAGTTGCGATAGTTTTCATAGAATTTCCACGTAAGAAATTTATCACAAAAATTATTTATTTAAGAAGGCGGTGAGAAAGCAAATCTACATACTCTCTCCCGCCCACAGTATTCATTTCTCAAAAAAGGACTTGATAAAAAATATAAACCACTCAGAGTAATTAATACTGTTTTATTAATTTTGTCTTTACAATTAATACTTAAACATAAGAGTAACTTCTTATATTTTTTGCTTTCTTTCACAAACTTCCTTTAATATGGGTAAAGTTGAAAGCATACCTTGATATGAAATACATTTAATAAATTGATTACTGTTTTTTGATATTGATGAATTGATTAAAATGACTTATATTATTTTTTTTACCAAGAAATGAGTTATACTATCTTCAATCCTCAATATAAGACGTAGTTGACTAATCTGAGGAGGCTAAAAAAGTTAATTAAGTTAGTTATTTGTCATAAATAGATATTTTTTTTCTAAAATACCCTTATTAATCATGTGTGTTTGAATTACAAATGGATAGTATCTCCTTAACATATGCACCACTATAAGAATTATTTGAAGACAAAATAACTATATATTGGAGACAAAATAGATTGGAATCTTATATTTAAGATTAAATAAAAAGTCAAAATAACTTTTGTATTAAAGATTAGAGGTGGTATTATGGATGATAGGGAGTGTACATATATATACACACACAGAGCTTTCTTCAGACCTAATTTATATATATATACATATATATTGATATAGACTTAGTTTATAAAATTAGTATCTTCACGAAAGAACTTTTTCTCACAGATATGAACAGAATGAATTTGTTTTTGGGGTGAC